GGAACTTCATTTTTTATGCTTTCTCCTTAGTTATTTAAAGATGGATGCATTAAGGGTGAACATAAACATTGTCATAAGCACATTGTCAGAAACACTAGACACTTTGTGGCCTTTCACAATGTCGGAATTTACTAAGCACACCCAAATCCACAAGTTTCACTGGCTACAACTTGGCAGATCTTTTGATAGCTGACTGTGGAAAACATGGTTCTTTTATTCCAGTCTTAACTGCTAACTCTCACACTACGTGTATAATGCACCATATACATGCATGCATACATACATACTCTGCATGTATGTACACATGTACATGTGTGTGTGTGTGTGTGTGTGTGTGTGTGTGTGTGTGTGTGAGTGTGTGTGTGTATGAGACAGGAAGATGGGGAGAATGTGTTATAGAAAGGCTATAAAAATTTAAAGAGGCTTCATTGGAATTCAAGAATTTCAAAGTGACCTTACATAGGCAGAAAGCTAAGAGCTATGCAGTCTCTGGAGGACTTAGGCTACATAAGAACCCTGCCAGGGAGCTGCTGCTAGAGTCACAGCCATTCAGGCCACCGTGTGATGAAGTTAGAACTGGATCTGCCTCCCAGACCCATGCTCCCAGACATAAAACTCAGACCAAAAATATATTTACAAATATCTTGGCCATATAGCTAGGCTCTCCTCTGACTAGAGCATAACTAAAGATAACTCATTTATTTTAGCTCACATTCAGCCATGTGACTGGTCACCTGTGTTCAGGTACTGTGGGTTAGTCTTATCATATCTTCCTGGCCAATCTCCTGCCTGGCTCTATCCCAGAATTCTTTCTCCTCCTGGATGTCCCACCTTCTAATTCCTTGCCTAAGCCATAGGCTGTAGGCTTTTTAATTGACAGGTGATGCATCCATACAACACAAGACATTCTTTCTACATTCTCTCTACAACTGTGCCAGAACTGAGCCTAGCCTTGGAGTTGAATTAAGCCATTAAAGCATGATGTGAAGTCATAAAGGGAAGCACCAGGGCTAGATGGACAGATGATCAACAATTTGAATAGTTCACGCCAGCAGTGGGGAGCTAAGCAAGAAAACATGTCTGGTAGAGTTGGGAATTCTGCCTGTCAGTGGCTAGGTGACAGGTCATTAGAGCCATACTCACTGAGGTATTTGATGTCCTCCTTCTTATGGAACCCTGGTGAGGGAGTTGCCCTCTTCAGTGGTCTGCTGTATTTTATAAGCCATGGGCCTAGCTTTCTAAGACACAGCCTGAACATCTGTCTTGTATATAATATGGAGTAAATTTGAGTAGGGCACAGCCTGATCTCTACAGACAAAACTCAGAATGCAAATAAGATCACAAGAGAAGTGAATCTTTCCAGACTCTGCTTCTGCACAGACTAGCTGCCTGCTAAGGGCTTTTCATCTCATTCCCCACAATTGCATAAGCTGAAGTTTGATTTTACTGGTCTCCTAGGTGATAAAAGGTCCAACTTCAGGGATCTGTGCCAGGTCCAGCTACTTGTCCACCCCTGCTCCTCAAATTAAAAGACAGATAGTAGTATGAGAGCGTGCAAGGATTCTACTCACTGTCAGACTACTGGAAAGACAAGGGGACAAAGCACCTTCATCTGTCTGCCAGAGAACTGCCATGAGGTTCAGGTTCAAATAGGGGGATAGTTTGGTTGGTATTTTGATCAGTCAGGATCTGGTTGAACATTATCTGAGGTCTGGTTTTGCCAGGGCCTAGAGAAGTCAATATTACTTGAAGTAGGGAATTTGGTTCCCATCATGAGTGGCTGCTTCTGCTAAGGGGGAATACCCTCAGTTCTTTTCATGAGATAATTGCTGGCATCTAAGAGGGAGTAGTCTCATCACAGGGTGACCTGTCTACAAAGATGGATGATCCTGGGATCCAAGTGACTGCAACAGAGAATAACTCCACCAGAAGATGGGATGGTGGTGGCTCCTTCAGTTGGGCACTGACAAGTAACCCTAGGCTATTTCTGTAGCCCCAGTAGGACACCATGAAAGCTGGTGACTACAATGACTCAGTTCCGGAAAAACATACCCAAGTCTTGTCTTGCTGTCTTCAGTCTTGAAGAAGAAGGTTACCAGCTCTAGATAGTTACCCCTTAAATGATTGACATGTCATGTACAAAGCAAAGTGGGAATCTGACCCAGAGAACTATGATGATTAAGGAGACAGGGTGATGAAATCAAGGCATGCATGTCCAGCTCTACCCTGCTTTCAGATACCCACCAGGTGTCTGCAGGTCCAAGAGGCAGACTTTGTATGGTATATAGTTGTGTCAGGTTTATGTTATGTCAGATTTATTTTCATGGTTATTTTGTCCTTATTTCTTCCTCCTCTTGTTTGTTTTTATGTAGAACATTTTAAAATTTATTTTTCTGAAATCATAAAGAAAACCATTGAAATTTAAAAACCATTGTATATACACATTCATACACACAATCTCTCTCTCTCTCTCTCTCTCACACACACACACACACACACACACACACACACACACAGCTGTGTCAGGGTTGCTAGGGATACAGTCCAACATGGTGCCTAAGCCCCCTCTAAGACAACATATTGGCACATTAATCAACAAATGGCAGAGGGAACATTGAAAAGCGTTTTGAGGAATTATGCACATTTGTTTTTTTGCTTGTCATGTGATTTTTACCAAGTTTGTAGATGTTAAAATGTTGATGCAGTGCCCTGCTGACAAACACCAGAGTGATTTGTGTTCCACTCCATTGCCATTTCAAATGCTGCCTTTATTAGGAGAGATAAGATAGCAGAGATGATAGATATTTCTGGGATTAAAAGGCACCTTTTCAGTGTTATCCACACGACAGTGTTATTTTCCTAAAAGCCTGTGACAAATGGTAGTCACTTAGCGCCATTCTGCTTAGTTACATCTTATAGAGCTACCTTAAATGCTGAGCAACCAAACACGAGACCACTTTATTAGTATAAAATACATTGAATTCATATATAAATAACTAATGCTAAAGGAGATCCCGATGAGGTCCCCGAGAGTCTCTGCCCGTATCTTACATCAGGAATAATTCTGCTTAAAGGCAGTTTACTCACTGCACATTGTTGATCTCCTGATACAGCCCACACGTGATCACAGCTCTTCCAATACAAGACATTTCTCCACAGGGTGTAGCCTGGCCTCCGGACAGCCCAGCAGCACCGGGCTAAGAGGTGGCAGTCACTTAAAACTATGGAGAGGAAGACAAGATTGGCTGTACAAGGACACTTATTTATAGTATGGGGGGTCGAAATAAGGCAGGGTGTCACCTTTTTCCACTTTAGCTGGGGACGCATCTATTGGGTGACTCACAATTTTGACACTGAGCATAACTGTGAGTGACTCAAAAGGTCGTGGAAGCACTGCAAGGGTTGACTCGGGCTTCGCAAATAGAGTTGAGTGAGCTGGCAGGTTTGTAAATATAGAATCCACAAAAAATAAGGGTTGACTAAATGGTCCCTCCTGCAGGACTTGTCTCTCTCATTATTCGTTGCCTTCATGCAATGCTCTCACTATACATTTTGTGATTATGAGTGTGTGTGTTGTGTGTGTGTGTGTGTGTGTGAAAATTCCCTTCTTGATATGTTAGTGAGCTTGAGCACTTTTTCTCACTTGTTACGCATTTCAATGCAGACTTTGGTCACTGAACTGCCCATGTATTTCCCCCTTTTAGCCCATAAAGAGACTTTCTTTTCCTCATCTATTTGTAGTTTTCATTTATTAGCATGTTGGCTCTTTTCCATTGGTTATGCAAATATTTCTCAATTCCTTCTGTTGCTTCTCTGATTTCTATGACACATTTTTAATAATCAAATATCTGCCTCCCATCTTGTACCACAAGCATTATGTGAAATTTCTACTTTTATCCCAAAAGTTTGATTGATGTATATTTACAACAAAGTCTGTATTGTTTTCTGTGTGCAGTGTCAGCTACGTTCTGTGCTTGCCTCCTTCCAGATGCACATCCCCTGTTGTTCCGATGCTAACTAAAGTTTGAGACTGGGAAGTACATGGAACAGATTGGACTCCTGGAGGCCATGACATGTAGTGTCTTCTGGCACCATGCAGGGAAAAGAACATCTAAGTTCAAAGACTCTGTCAGAACGTATATCTGTACGGCAGGTGCATCTCAAGTCAATTAAGATACCCCTGAAAGCATCTCACAGACAAATCCAGGTGGTGTAAATGCCAGCACTCACCCACTTTGCGAGAAAATAGGAAAACCAAGGTAGAGTGGACCCTCGCCTTAATTAATAATATAAAATAGTGGGTTTTGTTATGCCATTTTCATATGTGTACATCATTGCATGCAACTCTCATTCACTCCCCTTTACCCTCTGGTCCTCCTCCCACTGGTCTTCTTCCTCCTTGCAAATGATTCCCTGCTGCTTTCTATATATTTCTATGTATGTGTAGACAGACAGACAGACAGACAGACAGACAGACAGAAAGACAGAAAGACAGAAAGACAGAAAGACAGATAATATAGGGGTGGTAGAAAGATGGGTAAATAGATATGTGATAGAGGGGTATATAGAGAAGTGGGTTGGTGGAAAAATAGATGTCAGGTACAGATAGATAGATAGATAGATAGATAGATAGATAGATAGATAGATAGATAGATACATAGATAGATAGATAGATAGATACATACATACATACATACATATATAGATACATAGATGCATAGATGCATAGATAGTACATAGATACATAGACAAATAGATACATAGATGATAGAAGGATACACACACACACACACACACACACACATATATATATATATATATATACGAATATATAGGTATATGGATGGAGGGATAGATGATAGGCAGACAGGTAATAGATAGATAGATAGATAGATAGATAGATAGATAGATAGATAGATA